TACTTTATTAGCTTTTTGAGGGCCTTTAGCCAAACTGAAGTAAGTCACACATTCAAGTTCTCGTTATAACTGTCGACAAGACCCTGCTGATCCGTTGTTGTAGCTGATTTTTGGTCATGAGCTGTGGAAAGTCATTCAGTCATTTATAAGAAGCTCCAGGTGATAATTGCAAAAGAGTTAAACTGGAACTGCCGAGTAGGTGCTGGAAGGGGCATGTATAAAGAAGGGAATAACTACATAAATGCTAGTACAAATCATCAGAAGCAACCATCCTGTCGAAAACAATTGGTAACCGATATGACCCTGCCTGAGGGCCCATCTCGAAGTGGTCCCTTCGTGAGAAGTTCTACCTGAGTTCTGTCTAAAGGTTCGTTTGGTTATTTGACGTAGGCTCCTGAATTCTCTCGGGCAAATCAGCGTTCGACAGCAGTGATCTTTGAGAGAATCTACACTATTATAAATTATGTTGTAACGCTCCAAGACTAACCTTAAGTCATGCATGGGTTTCTGGGTTCAGCTTTCAAATCTGAAAACGTCTGCGCAGGCCATTAACCATCAACATTAAGGCGTTCCAATAAGGGTCAAGCGTGCGTTGAGGAATCCTCGACATGTCACAGAGGGGGGGGGGTCGTATTGGCCCGCTGGGGAAGAGATCGGGCCCGATTGATGCAGTAGGATCATCGTCGGAGGACAAACATCAAGGATCGAGTCGATGCCAGGCCAGAGGATTTCCAATAACAATTGATTCCGCCCACACAAAATCGTGATTTAGAGGTGTCCGCTTAGCAATTCTTAGTTACTTCAGTGTTTTATCACCACACAAGTTAAAGAATCGCACGTTTTCCAGGGATATTTTATCTTTCAAGTAGTCCTCAAATCCAAGGGATGTGAAGCACACGGCGCATCCCAGAGTGGGCCCAGTTGGTTGCGCGCGCTTCAGCTACGGCTCTCTTGAGAAAGAATCTCAATTCAGGAAAAATCAAGAGGATTCTGAAAGGGTTCATGTGAAATTACAGGGAGGAGTACACTATTCAACAAGAAACGCAGCCTTCAGCGTCAAATTCACAAGCATGTAACCTTAAAGTTGAGACCGCTAAACAATTTTACACTTTTTGAAAGAGAAAAGCACGAGGATTTTGAATCTGCTCCTACTTTAGTATGTAATCGCCCCTGAAAGGAGCTATAGTCGTTGAAATAGTGCCAATGTAGCGAAAAAGTACCTTTCGGCGGTACTCGGGCAAAAATCCTCAACGTGGCCATTTTTTAAATAGTGAACGTATTTAGCAGTTTTAGTTGCCTATAGAAAGAGCAAATCTTCTAGTTTATGATGACGTATTAACTTTCCAGATTGCATGAGTTTGAACGGAGTTATGGCTTTGGAAAGCGTAAAAACTCGCACTCATCACAAATTTTCCTCGTTAATTTTGCAAAAATCCTCAACGTGGCCATTTTTTGAATACTGGACGTATGAAGCTGCTTTAGCGACCGTTTGATAGAGAAAATCTTCTAGTTTTGTCGTACTTATCAACTTTTCGAATTTGACGAAAAAATGAAGCAAGTTATGGCTTTGGAAGTGCTCATGAATTTTCCTCGTTAATTGATCTAAATTTGTTATTTCTTATAATTTTTGTAATTTCAATACTGATTAGAAAGAGCTCTTCACAAAACTCCAAATCTGCTTTCAGATTGAAAATTCGTCATATTTGAAGAAAGTTATAATCATTTGAATATTTGTTCAAATTTCAATAGTATATAAGCTGCTCCACGGTCAACGCCAAAGATCAGTCAACACACAGCTGGCTAAGGCGGTTATAAGGCTTTTTTCCAAAGGGGGACGTGTAAACTGGGAGTCTTTTCTGGCACTATTCAACTATTACAACCCCAAAATCTCAAAATTTTATTTTTCGTCGAAACTTTGCTCTATAGGGGTAATTCGGTGCCCTGATTACGAAAATGACATTCATTTTTGGCGGTGGCGCCATCTGGCGCCAGTTGGCGTCACCTTGTCACGACACATGTTTTCACCAAATTCGATGTAAACTTCTGTATAGGGGTTATTGATGTCCTGATTACGAATATGACATTCGTTTTTGACATTAGCCGCTGTTTACCGCATACTTCCCGCTTTTCTGGGCTCTCTCACCTATACATAGCGCCTTGGGACTAAGCTTAGGGGATAGGGAGACCCGGGATGGGTAAATCAGGTACCGTGCGTTGAAGATGAAGCGTGTGAGATCACAGGGTGGGTGGGTTACTCACACGTAACCCTCCTTTCCCCTAGAGCTTAGTCCTGATCGCGATCTAATCGCTAGGAGGGCGCAGACGAAGAGAATAAGGCGCCAAATGGAGCTAGCGCAAAAATGAATGTCATATTCGTAATCAGGACACCAAATTACCCCTACCCAGAAGTTTACATCGAATTTGGTGAAAACAATGTGTCGTGACAAGGTGACGCCAACTGGCGCCAGATGGCGCCACCGCCAAAAATGAATGTCATTTTCGTAATCAGGGCACCGAATTACCCCTATAGACAAAGTTTCGACGAAAAATAAAATTTTGAGATTTTGGGGTTGTAATAGTTGAATAGTGCCCCGTTCCCCTCCCTTGTGGCTACTAAAATTTTGGAGTCTTCCGAAAGGAAATAATAAATAAAGATGAGATGTCGTCATAAAATTTCATTTTCAGTGACTAGTTTGTTGTTTTTTGCTCTCATTTGTTGGTAGGACTCATTATAGTGATCATTCTTTGACCTGTTCTACTAATTGTACTTCTTGAACGACTTTTTTGGTGGGGGGGGGGTAGGGTAGCAGTACCTTTTTATGAACAGGGGGAGATTACGCAACCTTTCATTGTTCGCCTTTGGAGAAGTCGTTTCATGGGCTTCGTCATTCCTTTCTCGTTTGCTCTGGTAGGACTCATCATTAATGATCATTCTTTGACTTTTTCACTTTTTACTTTCTTAAACGAATTTTTTGGTGGACGATGGGGTAGCAGGGCTTTTTTATGAACAGTTTTGGTGGAGAATTAAACAACTTTTCATAGTTCGGCTTTTGAAGAGGGTTGTTTCATGGACTTCGGCCTTCGGCAGAGGGAGGGGGGTCGTATTTCCGAATTTTCCTCGACGGTTCGCTTGACCCTGGTTGCAATATCCTTACAAAAACATCGAACCTTGACTTAATGGTTCCACCGCGTACTGAAGCTAACTAAAGGTGTAAGTGAACTGGACCAAATCGCGTAAGGTGGATCCGTAGGTTGCGGGGATTTCGTAGGTTGCGGTATCATACATAGTGTAAGAACTGCAGTTTCGAAAGGATACGAAAAACGCCTGAGCCCATAAGAAGTTGCAGAATAAGTTCTAAGCAGCCATTTCACAAAGTTTAGGCTCCTTTCACATCGCTGTTGTAATTCATTTCAGAGAAGTGGAACACCTTCATTCAACCTAAGCCTCCTGGGCGCATCTATAGAAGAGCTTATGGAACCGGTTAAAAATCCACATCATCTGGATGGAATTTTACGGTAACAGAATCCATTTCTTGAGAAAATGAGATTACTTACTGCTTTATTGCAGACGTTTGAATCTGATGATGTTGCTTCAGAGAGGCCTTTCCCTTCCACCCGACTCACACCATTTCTCAAGCGAATAGAGTATGATCCAAGGTAATTTGAAGAAGAATGCAGTGGCTTTTGGTAACCTTCAAATTGATCGACTTCCAGAACACCTCCTGTGTTGTTTGTCGGAGACAAAGTGATTGTGAAAATTGGCCAAATTCCAAGCAATGAGCAATTTTGAGCTGTCCACCATGGTCAGTCTTCTATATATAAATCTTCTACAGACAGCTGTAGGCTACCCGGTTTCAATATCAGTCATTTGCGCCATCGTATAATAGGACTAGATTGGGATACGTGGCTTCGTAATGGCTGGTAACGAATCCCGTCTAAGGCAGCGGATCCAGTCGTCGCAATTACTCGTCAATGAATTCAGGTTTCTCAAGAAAATCTGGCGGCCGGATCCGATATTCACGAATGCAAAGTCGGCTACGTTCCAAAAGGTGAATCCTCCGACGATCAAGTGGTGGGAGCAGTACATAGTTCTAATGTGAAGGTTAGCAAACCAACTGATATAGCCCAACTTCGTGGAAGATACCACGAGAGAAATCGTAAGGTCCCTACCTACCTAGATCACCAGCTTCGCCGCAAAAGTTACGCGGTTAGGGCGAGGAAGAGCTCGAGTGAGCACGTTACGCGAGAGAGTGCAGACGCCGCGTATGCCGCAATCCTAGGGGGGACCCCTCCTAGGAAGGACTTGCTTTTAGAGCTTAATCCGACTCGTAACTTTAATCTTACACCGTCATTCAAGATGCGCCATGCATTCCTTCAATTTTGAAAATCATTCAGCGATTTCCTGCTTCGGAATGCATGTATCTGGATCCCAGCTATCTTTTAGGTAACCTACCTCAATTTCTACATGTATATTTTTCCTGGAGGAGAAGTTTTTCTGGATTTTCGGGTGTATTTGAAGCCGACAGCTGCTGAAATCGTCCTTTGTAAATATTCACATGATAATCCGGCCTGTTCGTTGAAGATCACCTCACGTGAGTTTTTTACAGTTCCGAAAATTCCAGAATTCTGATTAGGCTGTTTTTCTCTTATATTGTTCAGTTGGTCCTTAACGAGTAATTGTGTAGTAGTAGCAGTACAGGAGATTTAGTTATCGAAGTGAATCTCCTTTTGGAGTACCTTCATAAGTGCACCTGGGGAAAAAGCCGAAATGTTTTTCGAGCTAAGAAAACTACAGGGGGGGGGGCCCAAAAAAGAGTCACTCCCACTCACATTCAAAACAGAATTAATTACACTTTGCCAAAACCAAACCGAATGAGCTCAATTGCATATTGAAGAGCACATTCTATTCTATCAAAAACATTGCATAGTGGCCTTTCTAAACCGACGACACAGAAGATTTTCCCACGGAAACATGGTTCGCGGTACGAGCTCAACGGGGTCGTCGAGAAACCATAGACGATTACGACGTCTCTGAAACGCTGGTCAAAAGCCATTTTGCATAGTCAGAGCTAGTGTCTCTAAGAAGCCATTCACCAGTTATCCGATTGAAGAAATTTATGTAGCAGCTTCAGAATGGAGCGATTATTGTAGGCCTCCTTAAGCTCGACGGTGATGACAGATGACGTCATATTCTGGAGACGGTGAAGGCAATTCTGCTTATGGGGAAGACATTAAGGAATTTTCGTAAATACCCCAATAACAGTAAGCACCACTTTACGACAAAAAGTTTGATTATATGCGCCATGGGTGAAGTGGCTCTTTTTTTGCCCCCCCCCCTTTACATGAGAATACAACAAGTGGTGAAAATACCGAAGTTGCGAATTTCAGTGGGTTTCACATCTGATGCGGTAGAGTTCGAGTGGTTTTCCGAGCCGTCCGATGCTATTCAGCTTAATCGAGATCTCGAAATACCTGAACTCTCTTTGGTCGATGTGAAAGCTGAGACATGTGATGGATCGCGTAAATCAGGTAGGTCTCCGAATTTCATGGTCAACATCTAACATTTGTCAGTCGAAAAAGTCCCGAAGATTCCTGATATCAAAAATCTTTTCGCTGCTTTTCGTCCGTTACAAAACACCTCTGTGACCGTAATATTTATTGTTGTAACAAACGCATAAAATTCTGGCTAATCCGTCGAAAATTGCTTTAATGCAGCAAACTTACTCGGTATGATGGCAAATTCTTCTTACATGCGAAGAGCTTGGATTCCAGCTTGCTACAGACGCTACATCCCAACGACGATATGCGTCGTCTTTCATGGATCAGTGTTTGGCTTCCTGAAGAGTTTGTTGAAGGTAGTTATGAACTTCTAGATTTTTTGAATATACACATCATTCTCTCCCGAGTTCAATCCAATAAAATCCGATTTCTTTGAAAGGTGTGAAACGTTCCAGAGAGGAATGGATCGGCCTCCATGTTAAAACAGGTTGTCGAAAAACAAGACTGTAGTAAACAAGTATTTGCTAGGCTTACACGCCGCTACACCAGTACAGTGACACGATCCACATCATTTAATAACATACTTACTGAAGGTACGCGGTGCAGACTGTAAAACAGTACTGCTGAGCTACAGCATAGTTCGTGTAACACAACCGTGGCGAAAAGTGGAGGCAAATCACAATATGCTAAAGAACAACGCCGTAATCATTATAGACCGTAAAGTTGCCTTCGCATAGGTATACATTGAAGAAAATCAGCGGGACTAAGTTGGGTGAGGAGGGAAGGCAACGGTGCAATGACGCTTAAAGAACCACTATGGGTATTTCAGCAGTTTAGCCTGCGTTGCCTTACCATATGATTTCTGAGTATATCGAAGTTGAATGCTCCCGGTCCACAAGTATTGGTCTTGGGCGGCTGGTTCGATTCTAAAATAATCACAAAGGAATGGAGATAAGAAACTTTCTGCTAGTACATCAGAATTGAATGGTAGTTTCATTCAGTAAACCACTGAGAAACATTCAATCCGTCACCCCATGAAATGTGATCAAATGTGACAGATGGCAGTAGCGTTAATACATTTCTTTTACAAAAAGTCTTGGGATAATCTTTTGCAAACATATCACTAACAAATTGGACGTGAGTGCAGGCAATTGTTTCACAGAGTTTTGTTTTAGGTCGAATTTTCGTCTCGCTAACCGTATTTCTCACTCTTAGCGCCGAGAAGCAACTCGGCTAAAGAAGAACTGCCCAAGGTCTCTCTACATAAAGGTATATTTGAAGTAATTCCAGGAAACTAGGTCTTTCACGCCTTCTGACGCTTTGAATAAAAAAATCGTGCGCAGGGGCGGGGGGTAAAAAAAAGACAGTCTGCCCATGCCACAATCAGCGATTTTTTCTTCGCACTGATTGCCGCCGTAGAGGGGTCTCGTAAGGAAAGCATTTCTGGAATGTTCCTCTATGAGTACGAGCAAGCTCTCTTTCACTGCTCTCAACTTCTTCAAAATATGACATAATCGGCCATCGCCCGTCAGGTTCATAAAGACTGAAGCTACTACATAATTTCTTATGATTCTGGTGAATAGTTTCCTACAGACATTAGCTCTGACTGGGCAAGCCTTCCCTCCTACCCAGCTTTCAGAAAACGTTGTAATGGTCCTTGATCCGTGGAATACCCTACTGAGGTCGACACGCTAGCGTAAAAAGGCTCTTATGTAAAGTTCTCCATAGAGTGGATGGGCTGTCAACCTCCTTTGAAACACCCACTTTGAGTTTAGCGAAGGCCCCATCCACTCCTATGGAGAATCTTTTTTAATGAGGAGACAAAATGTCGCTTATTGCCCACCCCTAAATTTTCACACTCCGATCAGCCGCAACGGTTTCCATACCGTTCGTTCGGTTCGTCCAAAGCTTGAGATATCTTTCATTCAACTGTGTTCACTGGCGCGTTCCGCAGTTGAGCGGCTGCGGCTTATTGCGGCCATTAGTAGAAGGTAATCGGGAGGGGGGGGGGACCGGGGGCGGAGGGGCAACGTGGAACCAGTAGTGAAAGATGGAAAAAATTGCTCCCTGACTCTACTCAAGTGGTGGTAAATACAATCGAGGTTTGCGCCGAACTCACTCTTCTCATTGCTTGCTTGTTCCTCTTATTCATTCTGAGGTGTAATAACCATGAAGATAGTGAGAACAAGGCTCCTACCCCATTATCGCGATCTGTGCGTAAAGAATGTATCACAAGGGTTTTACTGTTTCGTTTCCTCCCCTAAATGACTGCTCGACCAGTCCACATTTAATTTCACTGTCAAACGCAATAACACACGATTACGAAGTCGCTGAATGTGCCATCAATCGAAATATTATAAATCTTCAATTTAGGCAATCGACATCTGGTTCGGTTTCACTTCAGTGTTTGTCTTTCTAACTATGCTTCAAGGATTAGCTGTCATCACTTTGGAACACCATAGCAAAACAATTGTGAGAATTACTCGGTTCTCATCTCTGTACTCACCATCACTGGGAAACGTAAATCCCATTTTAGCGAAGAAAATGCGAAGAAAACCTTGAAGATTATAACAAGTATAAGATAATGCTACTGATGTTACGCAGTCGATATTATCATCGAACGGCTAGGAAAGTCGATGAATTTTGCAAGGTGAGAATTGATTTTGAACGACTGTCTGCCCTCTGTTCCGTATAGTGAGATCATTTAACACTTTGCTTCATTGTAATACGAATAATTACCGAATTAAAGCGAGGGATTACGATAAGTTTGGACTGGGTTCATAGTGGAAGTGGAGATGCTGAATAATGCCCCAGTGGCGAAAAAAGCAAAGAAATCCGTCAAGAAGGCGCAAAATGGGACCCCTTTCTTTGCCCGTTGACCTCCGATAATGGACGAGCTAGCAACCAATTAGGAGGTCGTTTGCACATGTTATGCTGATAGCCTCTATCATTTCAGCAAGCATCATGCTTTGATTGATCACGCATCCCATGAAAAGTTATAGGATACACTCTGGAAGTGGAATATCTCGTCACATTGGCAATCGAAGGGCGCTGCTGCTGGGGGCGGAGCACAGACCGTGGCGGGGCTCAGAAAGGAATGGCAAGCCTTGTACGCTGCAACTAGCGCACCTTTGACCACAAAAACGCAACATTTCGTTTCCTTGGGCCCCTGACTACTGCTTCCAATGGTGCATGTACTTCCACGCTGCATACGCACTTTATCGTAATCTCTCGCTTTAAGTAGACTTTCAAACACGGGACCAGCCCACGTAGAGTCCAGCGATTTGACGCTCCTGCGTTAGTCCGTTACAATATGACCTGCTTTGCAGTAACGAGAGACATCCCCTACTTGAAACAAGATTTGCTTACCAGTTTTATATCTAAAAGGTTTTGAAATTTCATGTAACATTCGGAGAGCTAGGCAAATCGGTAGTTTTTACCAAATATCATAATATCAACGTAGAAGTTACAACTCCTTCACCATCCATGTTTTCCTTGGCAGGTTCACGTGCAGTTTTAACTTTCAATCCGTAGTCACCCTTCCACGCCGTACGTAGGTTTTAATTTAATGTCCTATAGTGATTTGAAACCCTTCCCCGGTTATATATACACCACATGCCAATCACATCACACCGCCTCCGCCATACATTTCAACTTGTCGAGCATCACGGTGAAAATAAAGTCACGCTGAATCTAAGTGTTGCAGGTGATGTATCCAGTGACGTTTCTTCTCTTCTTGATGATCTATGTGTTCGTTATCATTCAAGGAGACGAAGACAAATGCTTACAGAAATAATTCCTTTCACCACGTCGTTTTTCTTGATTTTACAGCTTTCTATCCTCAACATCAAGTAAACAGCTGATACTCACAATTTGTGTTGTTCAGACAAAAAACCAGAGACGGCAGTGAACTACCCGATCCAGCAGCTTGAGCAAGTTGAGCTATGATAACTTGGGGTCAGGAGGTGAGCCAGAAGTTAAAGGCGCCTCTGATGATGCTGAAGATAGGTCCTCAATTGGGAAGCTGAGCAATCCATAAATTAAGCAACTGAGCATCTTGGATGAACGTCGACAAGTCCATTTGTTGTACACAAAGCATACGACTTCCATAAACAGTGTCATGTTTAAGTGTCGAAATCTTACAAGGGAGGTCGTTCAGGGTGTGCCAAGCTTTTTCAAAATGGTTTCTTGCATGACATTGGGGCACATATGGGGACCACAGAAGCATGGTTCATTTTTCCTGAACGGCCTCTGAATACCAGAAAAGGGGTCCCTAGTTCGATTCCTCGTGGTGACAAATTTTTGCATTTCGAGTTGACGTTCCAAAATTCGCGCAAAATGGAGTTAGCATGAATAATGTACCATATTCATGATTAGGACCGTCAGTAACCCTTACAAAAGACTTTGATTAAAAAACTGGTGAAAAAGGTGTGACACCAAAACGGCCCCACTGTGATGTCACAACTTTTCCACCAGTTTTTTAATCAAAGTCTATTTTAAGGGTTACTGACGGTCCTAATCATGAATATGGTACTAATTATTCATGCTAACTCCATTTTGCGCGAATTTTGAAACGTCAACTCGAAATGCAAAAATTTGTCACCACGAGGAATCGAACTAGGGACCCCTTTTTTGGTATTCAGAGGGCCGTTCAGGAAAAATTAAACATGGTTCTGTGGTTCCCGCATGTGCCCCTATATCATGCAAAAGACCGTTTTCAAAAAGCCTTGGCACACCCCTGAAACGACGCCCTCTTGTTAGAAGAGGCAGTGTTCTATTCTGGATGGCCCAAAACCGTTGTCCAAGCCGAGTCTAGCCTCCTGTGAAGTATAATGCCGCTTCGGTCGCTAGCATGCCGTCGTCCTTCTCGTGCTTAATCTTTGGTGTAGTCTGACTTGCAAACATTCAAGGGATGCTCGTGAAAATTATGGCTATAAAAAGCTTTTCGCGAAATAGGTGTAATAACCATAAAAAATAGGCGAGACAAAGAGTTGGACGCTTGACAAGGAATCCAAGTGATACTATGTCAAACAAGCACGCTGCGGATTTTTTGGAGTTCTCCCAAAGAAAATTCTTATAAATTCCTAAGATAAATGTAATTTGTTGCAGGAAATTATGACCGAAAACTATTGTAAGTATATTCCGGCATTTCCTACAACTTCAGACATAGTGTAGAAAACGAACCAAAGATACAGCTGTGACCGAAATTGTATCGTAGCCATGTATACGTGTTCGTTTTAGCATAGGAAAAGTCCCTTCAAACGACATGGTGTAGCGACTTCTTGTTCACGCTGCAAACGCATGACTCATGGAACGATGACGGCTGTGAAAACGTCTTTGTGCAACCACACGACAGTACGAGCTTCAAAAGAACGCGGGTTGCGAATTTGACGATCGGTCCCGCAAAATTTTCACGCCTCACTCTGTTAGTCGGCTAGATTTCAATCGCACTTCATGAGGCCATCGAACTGCAACCTCTGTCTCTAAAAATCCCTTCCATTATTTTTATTAGTGCTTGTGTCGAAATGTAGTAAAGGAGGATTCAACGATAAGGACGATGATCAAAGAAGGGAATTTCTACCCAATTGGAAGGCAGACGCTCTAAGGACACGGCGGACGCGACACCAATCAATAAGCAATCGAAGGAATGCCTAAACATGGACTTCCCCACGACCTTTATGCGCTATCAGTCCAGTACGCCACCTACGCACTCTTGCGTTGTCTTAGGTCTGATTGTGAGTCTCAAGCCGTTCAGGGAGAGCGTTAGCGTTGAAGAGAGCAGCACCGATGAAAGTCGAGTCAATGCGCAATTCAACGTGCAAAATGGAGGGTTCCATGTTCTCGGGTTCAGGCATTTCCAGCGGTCTTTCTCGTTCTTCCTGCGTCACGCGACCCATATAACTCAATTTCCAATGAGCTGCGTTTTTGCTTTAGAGTTCAGAGTTCAGAGAAAAGGGGATTAAAGAGATGAGCAGAACTATTTGTCTCGGATTCTCCGAATTTCCCGAATCACAAAACTTCATAAACTTTACATCACTAGATCATGACAACGCACCTTGCTTACATAGGCGAGCTCCTTGGTCTTCTCAGAATCCTGCTTGTTACTAAAGCCTATAGCTGTTCTACGTCCCTATCTCGCCCTATACTTGAGTACTGCCCCATGGTATGGAGTCCTCTATGCGTAACATGGTAGATATTATTGAGAGTGTTCACTCCAAATTCACTGAGCGAATTTTTGCTCGTGAAGGTATTTTTCATATTTCTTACAGAGAAAGACTAAGCCAACTAAATGAAAATTTCCTAGAAATGAGAAGAAAGTAGTTCGAATAACGATTTTGTCTACAAGCTTCCCGGCTGATGGATTTGGATTTTGTTTCTCTTTTCAAGAAATCAACATCTATTTAACGTAATAGGGATCATAGCTATGGACTACTAAGAGAGAAGACAAACTCCGCTGGAATATTGTAAGTTCATTCACACAAAGAATCATTACTTTATGAATGATTTCGACCTTCTGTGGTTTACTCAAGCTCTTCCAGCTCGTTTAGGAGAAAGGTTAAGCAGATTTTGGTGTCTCGAGGTTGGTTTCAAAAGAGCAAGAAACTAAATTCTATAGAAACTTATGAGGCAGAGAGAAGCGATTCTTTACTGCCTGTTGCAGGACTGTGTGACGTAAAAATATTAGCTTCCTTTCTATCTATTTGCTTTTATAAATATTTGTTTCTTGTTGAGGTGCTGAATAACTTCCTACTTGATTTCTGCGGCACTAGAAGTTGGATTTCGGTAGGTTGGCGGACCTACTAATTCGTGTCGGTATCTGAAAGTCTATTGCCTTGTACGCTTGCAGTATTGGTGTCTACTGCCCTTTCAGACGATTTCCCCTAAATCAGCTCCTGCCCTTGGTCTTCATAAGTTTGGTACTATTGGAGGCTGTTTTTGAAACTATTGCTTATCGGAGACATGTTTCTGTTTTTTTTATCACTATGTTATTTTTGTTTGATTTCCGATAATAAATCATTAATAATTAATCTCGCCTACGCGATCTAGCAAATGCTCAGCTTGGATGTTTCTCATCATAACGACTCGAAGCAAACAGCGGAGCAATGTTGTGGCGTTCGGCTTCTTCTTTCAGAGCCAGCCATCAAGTTGACCTTTTTCCTCCGCTCGCGTCGTTGCTCTTATCAGCGAACAAATCTCTTGGGAATAGTTCAACATAGCACAGACATTAGCTAATACAGCAGCTAAGATTCTCTTGTGAGCAGTGTTGATACATATTTTTAGAGTAATATTACCAACAACTTCTAATTTTTCTTCTTCCATCCTGCACGAAAATCTTCTTGGTTATCCTGATGCAGTAGCACATTGCAGCGTTGTCTGCTTTATGTAGGCCTTTTTGTGCTGAATCAGCACTTCGATTCAGATCTTGTGCACAGATTCCGATTGACCGATTCATAATATTAGGTTTTGAAACAAGTTCTCGAACTGGCTGAAAAATGCAGTTGTAAAAATATTCATCGTTCATAAGAACCGAAACTTATTGAAGAAGTTGTTGTTCCAAGGGTAAATGTTACCACGATATTCGCCACAAAGATCATCTTATTTTTCACTTATCCGCCATGATCGACTCTCGATGAACCTCGGCATAGTTATAGTACGAGTTTATTTGACTTAACAGTACACGAGGTTGACAATATGATTCCGTGGCTAACGTTTCGGCGATTTCGCCTTCTTCGGAGCCTAAAAAGGTGGAAACCAATTCATGATTTATCCGACCAAATGTCTCGCTACCCTACGAGAGCTTCGAGACCAGCTAAGACATCACATAATTAATAGGCAGATAAAGTACCGTACCTTCCTAGATCAGCGGAATCAGCTCACAGAACGACTGTATAGCGGATATCAGACTAATCCGAGTTCAGGGTTCCGGCTGGAAGGCTAACCTTATATAGGGGGTTAGTTCCCGCGTTATTGACACACATTCTCCCTGCGGTTCATTTTGTTGGATTCTTATGCAGCCACGGCGTTTTAAGCTATTCAAGATCTCCAATGAAGACGTTTGTGTGTGACGCGCCAAGACTTATTTCTCCGCTATGAATAATTCTCATCTAGTGTCAAAAACAGGGCCGCACTTGCATGGTAAAAATAAGAATAGGAAAGCCGTCAAAGATCGAAGATCGCAAAATGGATATGCGAATAGTCTGATATTCTAGCAGGTAGATAGCCTTCTTGCTACCATGTCGTGTCGCTCTGTAATTTTGAGGCAATATTTTTTGGCTTCATAGCGGCTTCGAACGTGCACCGTGTCTTCTCAACTAAGAAGCTTGATTGATCAGCGAGCATGATTATCAGCTGACTAAGGCGTTTGCCTCTATGGTCCGCCAGGGATTGTGCAAAAAATTAATTGTGCCAAAATTTTGCATTTTTGGCCCAGTCCGAGAACATACAGTAGCGGTCAAAAGTCTTCGCCGAAATTGTTTTTCTACTGTAACTTTTTTTCCGCTGAATTCACAATGAGTGTCAATATTTGATAAGAGTGTTTTGAGATAGTCGTACTTCATGGAGCGTGTGGTTATACGAATTTGTTTCGGATTGAGAAAGAATTAAGAATGGAAAAAATCATTTCACTAGAAATTCTCGCGTATGAGCAAATTCCAAGTAGGTTTCAAATTACTCTAGCAAGCTTACAATTCAACAAAACAATCTTACGCATGATGAATAACACTGGGCAGGTCCAATACTTTGTTAATGATCTTCTGGGTTCGCTGAAATACTAACAAGGCCTAAGTAAGGAATCAG